GAATAAGGAAGGCATGATAGCGCATACGTGTAATGCCAACTACATATGAGTCAGAGGTAGGAGGATCACTGTAAAAGGCCAGGCTGAAAAAAATCACAAGACCCTATCTGAAAAATAAAACTAAAGCAAGAAGAGCATGGCTTAAGTGGTAGAGTGGCAGGTATAAACCCTGAGTTCAAAACCCCAGCACTGCAGGAAAAAAAAAATTACCAGTTTTCTTTCTTACTCCTCTAAAGTAAGAGTAAGCAAACTTTTTCAGTAAAAGCCAAGATAGTATATATTTCAGGCCTTATAGGCCATATAATCTGTCACAACTACTCAACTCTGCTATAGTATCAAGTCACAAGCTATAGAAAATACATAAAGAGCATGATTATGTACCAATAAAAACAAGCATCCAATTGTATATAGCCCGTGAGTTATAACTTGTTGTTCTTTCACTAAACTATGTTTCTTGAGAGTGAAAATTACATTATGGTAGAAGTTGAATCCTATTTATTATCTGGCACAATGCATCTAAGTGATGTACAGGAAATAAAGCATGCATTCCCTCCACTATTCCCCCTTCTATGAATGCTAGGCATTTGGTAAATTCTGGAAGAAGAAAGGGACAAAGGAAGGCATGAGTCCATGCATTGGATACCTGTAGGCTGTAGGGCTGAGGTGCACTTTGTTGGGAAGCCCATGACTTTCCATCCTAGAGGCTGTGTTCACAGTGTCACCAAACAAGCAGTACCGTGGCATCTTGTCTCCCACAACACCTGCTAAGACTGGTCCAGTGTGGATCCCCACTCTGATCTGTACAGAGAAAACTGCACTGAAAAGAAACCATCCTTTTGCTTTCATGGCATCATTTATATAAAGTGAAACCCACAGATATTAAAGTGTTTAGCTCCCTAAATACGGAAAAATAGATACATCACTGTAAATGCCATCACCCTAACAGAAAGAACCAATTTCTTATTACTTTTACCAAAGATTAATTTGCATGTTCCGGAACACCCCACAAATGAAATCATAGTGTTTCCTAGCTAGCTTCATTGACTTAATATAGTGTTTTTGAGATTCAGTCCTATTGTTGTGTGTATCAGCAGTTCATTATTTTTATTGGTGAATAGCAAAGCTCCACTGTGATTCATGTATCCATTTTCTTCTTCATGAGCATTTATTTGGAATGTTATATCATTAAAGGCTACTATAAACATTTCTGAACTTGGAGAAAATGAGGGAAGAGGTGGCCCTGTTCAAAAAGAAATTCGCTGAATACCTGACATACAAAATGGCAACTCCTCTGTATTTCGCCTTTACAATAAAAATTAAAATAAAAACATTTCTGTACGAACATTTTAGTGGACATACACTTTCACTCTTATGTAGCTACCTACAAGTGGAAGTTCCACTTCTCGGTCACAAGTACATATTTATTTAATTTTCCCATCGAAACAAAACTGTTGAACAATTCTCCAGAGTTTATTCTCAGTTCTCCATTGTCTACTGCCACCAGGAAGAAGAGCCTTCCAGATGTCCAAATGTTTCCACCATTTTGTCCTTCCAGTGCATAGGAAATGCTATTTCATCGTGATTTTAATTTACACGTTCCTGGTAGCTAATGATGCATATTTTCAACACACATATTGTATATTGCTATATATCTCTTTTTGTGAAAAGTTTGGCCAGGTTTTTTTCCTCAGTTAAGAAATTGGGTTGTACATTGTTTATTTCTAATGAATATGCACTGTATATCTATTTGGACATGTGCAATGTGTAAGTAAACATAGTATTTTCCTTAGTCTGTATATTCATTTTCTTTAATAATAAGAAATTTTGAATATTGTTAAATACACTTATTTGCTTAGACATTCATACAAAATCGCAGAGTGGGCAGTTAGAACAATAGCCCTCTATTTTCTCATGTTTCTAGAGGCTAGAATACTGAATCCAAGTGTGGGCAGATTTAGTTTCTCCTGAGGCTCTTCTCCATGACTGTCACCATGTCCTCACATGGCCTTTCCCCTGTGTAGAGGGCCACCCTAACATCTCTGTCCTATTTCCTCTTCTTATAAGGACATCAGTCAAGGTGAATTAGCCTCTCCCTCAAGGTCTCATTTTACCTTACTTACTTGGATTGAGTCTCTGTCTCCAAATGCAATCACAGGTCCTGAAGCCTAAGACCTCAACATATAAATTTTGAGGGATGCAAGTTTTCCTATCACACTAGATATGTTTTCTTTTCTGTTTACTGCCTTTTAAACTCTTCACTGCCTTTTTGCACTGAGAAAGTATTGTTTATACCAGAGTCAGGAACCTCTTTCCTGTGGACTTCCATCAAGAATTCTAGCTTTTATGGTTAGAATGGTCCTTGCCCCATACTTTGTAGGACTGTCATATGTACTTGGCAAAAACTAAGGGTACCTGACAGGAGTTTTTCTTAGTTCTCTTAGTGGGCCACTGCCTTGCATTTGAGGGGGATTCTACACATCTCAAGGAGTTCTCAACTGTCCTCCCCTGGCCCTCGCCTTTGGCTAAAAGAATCTCATGTGTTTGGTGAAGGCCTGCGGGAGAGAACTGGTAGATAGACGCCAACTATGTGGCTGGACTATGGGGGATTTTAACTTCAAGAACTAAGATCAGGGGGCACCAAGTTATGATTTTAGCCTCCTATGATCATGAAAAGCTCACTAAACTTTAGCTTGCTCTCTTCTATTTCTAAATTTAATTTTATTGTTAAGGTGATGCACAGAGTGGTTACAGTTCCGCAGTTCCATCCGTGAGGTAGTGCGTACATTTCGTGCTGAGTGTTGTTACCCTTCCCTCATTTTTCTCCTACTTCCCCTCTTCTAAAGTTCGCCTCTGCAGTCATACTTTTCCTGCTGCTCTATCTTGGATGAGTACAATCCTGATATCTCCTCCTTGAAAATAAGAGTCACTTTCTGTAATTTATTCCAGTTTGGGGTTTTTGCTCACTGTTGGGACTGAAAAAATCTGCTAGGATAGGAACTTTTTTTTTTTTTTTACATTCTAACTAGACCTTTTTGTCTTTTTGTATTAGATTTCATTCTCCTTGAAATAAGATTGTAAATTCTAGGAAAAGGGCCTGTTAATATATCTCTGAATCCTTTAAAGCAACTCATAATACTACTTCTCTCATGCATGCTATGTCTTCCTCAAATGTGTATTAAAGAATGCAGGAACAAAAGAAGAAAACGTCTCAATATATGCTAGTCGAGAAATGGTGGCACAATTTTCTAAAGAGGTAAGATGCCTTCCCCCTTCCCCCTACATCCTTGAATAAATCATACAATATATTGTTCCTGATGGCTGGATAATGATGTGCCTATATCTCTAGTCTTAGCTCAGAATTGCTAACATCCTTTCCTGATTGTTTGTTTGGGTTTTGTTTTTAATACATCCCGAAATTCAGTTTGAATTTCATTCTTCTTGGTACAGCATTATTTTCATCTAATACTCTCTTCCATTCCTCTTCCTATTGACAGCATATATTTCAATTATTTTTTCTTCAGTGGCTTACATTACAGTCCTTCGATAGAAAGGCTTGTCTTTTATCTGATCATCTTATCCCTACTTCCTCATCACCTTCCCATTCTGATTTTTACTTATTACGTGGAAGGTTTTATTCAACAGATGTGCACTACGAGTTTCCAGTAAGTCAAGGGACTGTGGTTGTTTTGTTCTTGTGATGGCCTAAAGCCAGTTTTACTTAGAGGACTACAGTGGACATTCTAGCCAGGACCCCACACTATTCTCAGCCTACAAATATCTTTCAGAATCTCCTGTAAAAGGTTATAACTTGGAGAAATCATTTTCCATCTTAAAGTTGGTTTTATTTTCAGTTGGCTATTAAGTTTAGTTTGAGCTTTGGCATGGGCAGGGCAGGGTTGTAGATGTAAAAAGGCAGAGAGAACAGGCTCTGAGCCATCTCAGGGGGAATCAGGATCTGCTGTTGGTTAAAGATAATTTCTAATTCTCATCTCGCAGACTGTCCAGCTTCTATCATGTGCATAAATGTCCATGCATGGAAGAGTGGCTTCCTGAGAGAAAAGCGAGCAGATGTCGCGCTAACAGTATGTGGTGGAAGGAAAGCCATTCCTGAATATCTTAGGGTATTGCCATGCCTGGGTTGTAGACGGAAGACAGCTTCACACCTCTGCCTGAGCTCTAAACTGTCAGATGACATGTTGGATATGCAATTTTCCCAAGCAGGGTGTTGAGTTGGCTGTGCTATAAACCTGAGCCACCTGTTGAAATGCTTGAACAAAAAAGCAGGAATAGTAAATGAGCTGGCTTTCAAAATAAATGGAGCCCTACAAGGTAAATAGAGAGATGTGCCTACCATCCTGAATTATAGACAAAGGAGGGCTACAGTGAATCACAGGAAAATCCACAGCCTTTTCTGAAATTTGAGAGAAGTTGAGACCTTAGTACCAATAGATAGATAGACAGACAGATAGACAGACAGATAGATAGATATCTTTTTCTTAGACACATATGCAAGGGATCAAAAGGCTTTGGAGAAATTCTCCATCTTAAATACTGTAATACATCCCATTATCACCTGAGAAGAGGAGAATTCTACTTTTGTGTGAGACATGTTTGTATTAAGCAAGACGTTGGTTTGCCCTCTACCTGGATGGGTTCTCCAGTAACAGGATTCATCACTTCCTTTGCAGAAATTCTCATCCCCAAGGCAAAATTCGCCACCCTTTGAGCATGGCTTCCAATAGGAACTGGCACACCTCCTACCACCATATAAGCATCACCTATTGTTTCCACCTGCCAGGGGAAAAAAGTACTCAGAGAGATTCCTTCACACTAAATATGTCACTAAATATGCTTTTAATTCCTCATATATTGAGACAAGAACAATGTTAGAGCTGTGACTCTCTGCCAAGGGTTTGAGGAACATGAAGAAGGTGGGGAGAAGGAATATGACTCTAAAAACCATGGAAGAGCCAACAACGACTTGCTTTTTTTTTTTTTTTTAACAGTACTGAGGTTTGAACTCAGGACCTCATACTTGCTAGGCATGTACTCTACCACTAAGCCATACATCCAGCCCAGTCTTTCACGTGTTATTTTTTAGGATAGGTCTTGCGTCCTTCCTGGGTATAAGCCTGAGACATGATCCTCCTACTGTGGACTTCCCATAGTAGCTGGAATCACAGACATATGCCACTTTATACAGTTTTCCTTCTGTGAAAATGGAATTTCATAGATTTTTCTCCGATGTAGCTTCAAATGACAGACATACACTACTGAGCTCAGCTATGAGTTAGGAAGGGGTTCTCAAAGAAGTTTTCTGCCTAGGCTGTCCCCTATACCACATTCCTCCTATTTTCAGCCTCCCAAGTAGCTAAGATTACAGATACCTTGCTCCTTTTTCTTTTCTTTTCTTCTGAAGATAGCACTGGCATCTCATAAATGCCAGGCAAGTGCCCTATCCCTAAGCTATATCCCATCTCCATGTCTACTTTTAGTGGAAACATATCCCAGAGAAGATGAACCTTCTGGGGTAGTAGTGTGATTCTGTTAGATAATACTTATCTGAATGAGAGTTTTTGTTGAATTCAGGAGCAGAAAACTTCTCAAGGGTACTAAAGTATCATCTTAATGCCAGATATTATGAAAAGGTTCCTAAAAAACAAGTTCATTGTCTGGAAATAAATGGTATAGGTGGTAGAGTGCTTCCTAGCATATATGAGGCTCTGAGTTCAATCCCCAGTCCTGAGGGGAAAGAAAACTAAAATTCCTAAAATTCTTTCAATAATTTCAATCTACTCTTCTCTTTATCCTACTCACATGCACACCAAGACTAGTGCAGATAAAGATGAAGAAAGACTTAGAATCAAGTGTCTGCCCAGCCATAGTACCTACTCCCAGCTCCTTCCCACACTCACTTTGTAGACTTCATGGACACTGGTTAGTCTGTCAAACTTGGAGTACATTGAATTCAGCATGTTCACTATCTGGATAGGTTCACAGGCAGCACAGATGTTAGTAAATGTTACCACATCACTGAAAAGGATCGTGCAGGTTTCAAATTCTCCTGCAACAGAAATTGTTGTCAATGATAGCCAAGGATATAGAATAATAAATCTGTGGTTTTTGGATGCAAATATTCTTCTCACCCTCTTGCCTTTGTTTTATATCCTTCACTGGCTTCTCATCCTCCTTCAATATTAGATAATCCTGACTTTCATCTCATCTTACATTTTTCAGATGTTTATAACAATCGTTCATATGATCCATGATTAGCCATCACCCACAGAGCAGAAACTCCTGTATCCTATAACTCCACGCTAGAATTTTTCTCTCGAGCTCTCCCACATCTCCTTCACTACATGGAGAATATCACAGACATCTCAAAATCAACATTCTTCTCTGACCTGGTTTCCTCATCAGGACTCTACTTCTTTCTCTTCCATCTTAGGACAAAGCATCATATGTTTTTCTGTTGGCAATCTCAGACTCCTCACTGAGTCCCATCTCTGACATTCCCCACACATTAGGATGTGACTCTGCTGTCTCTCCCTGAACTACCTTAGCACAGGCCTTAACCTTCTCTCAATCTACCTTGCTCTGCTGTATTGCCTATACCAAACAGCCCAAACTACACTTAACAAAACTAGGTACTTCCGTCATAAGAGAAACAAACTTCAGTGGATCACCATTGCTTACAAAATAAAAGCCAGTTTCGTTTACCATAGTCATCCAGATCTATCACTGTATCTCTTGAACCGCATCCTTCCCCTTCTAATCATTAAATACCACTTGTGAATGTACCCACATTCTAGGAACAAGGACTGCCACTGCCTGAAAATTTATTTTCAAATTGTTTTATCTTTGCTCTTGCTAAGCCATCCTTCCAATGCTCTTCCTTTCTTTGCCTGCTGGAGTTCAAACTAAAAGCCTACCTCAATTGCCACACACTTTCACAAAGTGTGTTCACAGCCTTATTCTACCCCATCTCCTCTCCTTATTAATCTCTCTGTGATCTGTGATTCCACATTTCTTGGAAAGAGTATGGGGGGAGATAGCATGAATTGGGGAGTTAGAGGACTTAGCATGATTTGTTTCCACCTCACAAGTAAGAACAAATGTCAATATGGATGTATAGAATGGGAAGCACCCTCTTATAGAAAAGTTAAAAAAATAAGTAAAACAGCATATGTAAACTATATAATGCAGTTCCCCCCAGCATACTATTTGCTCTTTAATGCACATTAGTCTCCTTCCTTTGGTCAGTCCCATTGCTAGGATTCTCTCTCTGCCAAAACCAAAAAGCTGTGTGTTCCTTTGCGTCCTTTGATATAGCTTCTGACACTATTCATAGGGCATGTCTATGGATGAATGCATCTGAAGTAATTAGGAAGTGAGCTCAGCATAAACACAACATCCTCCCTTCAGAAATAGCACTTCCAGAATGTTCCTCAGAGGCTCCTCATGATTTAGTTAAGATGTATATTAATTCCAATGATAAAGACCCGGCTCTTAGTCACTGAATCATAATGCCAGTCCTAGAACATAGCCCATATTCTTAAAAATCTAATATATTCATGTGTCATTGATTAGCATTTTAATCTAATGTACATTTCACTCCTGTATTACCATTGTTATTCTTCATGTAAAGAAGAGGAACTATGGAGATGCAGGTTTGGCAATTAGCCTGAGATGCTACCACTTACAAGTGATGGAGTCAAAATTCAACTTCAGATCTTCCTGGTTCAAAGTTCATTTCCCTACCCATGAGGATACAGTGCCCCTTACTCAGAAGTCCCCCCAAAGAGAAGGGACATCTCACCTGCGGCGACCTTTTTGCCCTCCTTTAGCTGATTGGCTACATGTTCCGGCAGCATAGCGTACAGCAAGGTCTCTGTCTTCTTCTTTTCGATGGCCAGGTGCTTGGAGAGGATGCAAAGCTCCTCCTTTTTCATTTCCAACTGGTTGGACAGCTCCATCTCTGCCAGACGCTGCTGGTTGAGGAGGATGAGGTCCCTGGTGGTGTCGTGGGGGGCAATATCTGAGAGGTGCATCTTGTGCTCCTCCAGCTCTTGCAGGCTGCGGAGCTTTGGTGAGCACATGAATATCATGCATCGCAGTGACTCCATCCAGATCATCTGGCCTTCACATCACCAAGAGAAATGCAAAAGAGAGTCTGTCATTAAGATGGGAGCTCATGAGCCCACCACAGAGTAAGGCGTCCTCTGTGTGTGTGTGTGTGTGTGTGTGTGTGTTCTAGTCACTGCATAGTCTGCTCTCCCCTTTCGGTCAAGTGTCTTGTGAATTACCTATGCTTTCTATCTCCCCCTGTTGCCCCTCCCTCATAGATGTCCTCCTGGCTGCTATTCTCACTTTAAGGTGGCTCCCACATGTGTCCAGACTGTCAACCCCAACACTGGTTTCTCAGTTTTATCTTTTGTTGTTGGTAGTAGTGGTCATGGGGCTTGAACTCAAGGCTTGGGCACTGTCCCTGAGCTTTTGTGCTCAAGGCTAATGCTCTACTACTTTGACCCATGACTCTACTTCTGGGTTTTTTTTTTTTGCCGGGAGGGTGGGGTAGTTAACTGGAGATAAGAGTCTCATGGACTTTTCTGCCCAGGCTGGCTATGAATTGCCATCCTTAGATCTCAGCCTCCTGAGTAGCTAGGATTACAGGTATGAGCTACCAGTGGCCCACTTAAGTTTTATCTTTATTTGGCCTTTCTGCTTTTGATAATATTAACCCAAACATCCTTCCTGAATACTCACTCCTTGGGGCTTTCTCTATGAAAAAAATACACACACCTACACACAAACACACACACACACACACACACACACACACACACACACACACACACACACATTGGGGAGTAGGTAATCCTAGCTACTCAGGAGTCTGAGATCTGAGGATTATAGTTCAAAACCAGCCCAGGCAGAAAACTTCACAAGACTCTTATCTACAATAAGCACCAAAAAGCCAGAAGTAGGGACATGGCTCAAGTGGCAAAGGGGTAGCCTTGAGCAAAAAAAGCTCAGGGGCAGTGCCTGGGCCCTGAGTTCAAGCCCCAGTACCAACACATGTGCACACACACACATCGTTCTTTAAATTTTTGCATTTCACTTAGCCTCATCTTATATGGTCATATGTACATAGCTTTAAATAGGGACCCAAGGGTTTATCTTTGTCACTGTTGTTTTTAAGGTACTATGTGATTTTTTTGTTTCTTTTGTACGTTCTTCCCCCCATGGTATAACCCCTGTTTTAACTGTATTTGATTCTGGTGCCCTGCATCTTGTATACACATTTTTCTAATTTGGGGAAGAGAAGGGAAATAACAAAATTCTGAAATAAGGATACAGGTTGACCCATTGTAACAATGAGATGTACAAGACACTGTGTTGAAAATGAACTTTACAAATTCAGGGGGAGGGGAGAGAAGTTGGGGAGGTGGGGAGGGAAGAGATGGTAAGGAAAAATCAAAGGAGGGGTAACAATGCTCTAAAGGAAATGTTCTCATTACCTTCCTCGTAACTGTAACCCCTATGTACAGTATCGTTACAATAAAAAATATATACTAAAAAAATTGTGCCGGGTGCTGGTGACTCATGCCTGTAATCCTAGCTACTCAGGAGGCTGAGATCTGAGGATCACTGTTCAAAGCCAGTCCAGGCAGGAAACTCCATGAGACTCTTATCTCCAATAAACCACTAGAAAACTGGAAATGACCCTGTGGCTCAAGCAGTAGAGCGCTCAACTTAAGCTGAAGAGTGCAGGGACAGCACCTAAGCCCAGAGTTCAAGCCCCATGACTGACAAAAAAATTACAAAAAAAATTACATTTGCTCCAAATTTGTCTTGATTGTTCTGTTTTAATATTACAAGATTACTATCTGACAGTGTGCTAACAGTGAGTCTGAATCTCCAGAGAAACCATGCTTCCCAGCATGTATTTTCTTATTTACTTCATCAAACATACGTATTTGTATTACCAGAAAAAGACAACCAGGTATCTTTTTGCAATCTGAAAATTTTGTTTTAAAATATGTAACACTAGGCTCTGGTAGCTCATGCCTATA